CAGCGGCCCAGAATTGGCCGAAGAGAAGACCGATCCTGCGGTCGAGAATTGGCCGAAGAGAAGACCGATCCAGCGGCCCAGAAGAGAATGCCGCCAGCGGCCCAGAATTGGCCGAAGAGAAGACCGATCCAGCGGTCGAGAATTGGCCGAAGAGAAGACCGATCCAGCGGCCCAGAAGAGAATGCCGCCAGCGGCCCAGAATTGGCCGAAGAGAAGACCGATCCAGCGGGCGAGAATTGGCCGAAGAGAAGACCGATCCAGCGGCCCAGAAGAGAATGCCGCCAGCGGCCCAGAATTGGCCGAAGAGAAGACCGATTCCAGCGGGGTCGAGAATGCCGAAGAGAAGACCGATCCAGCGGCCCAGAAGAGAATGCCGCCAGCGGCCCAGAATTGGCGAAGAGAAGACCGATGCCAGCGGTCGAGAATTGGCCGAAGAGAAGACCGATCCAGCGGCCCAGAAGAGAATGCCGCCAGCGGCCCAGAATTGGCCGAAGAGAAGAACGATCCAGCGGTCGAGAATTGGCCGAAGAGAAGACCGATCCAGCGGCCCAGAAGAGAATGCCGCCAGCGGCCCAGAATTGGCCGAAGAGAAGACCGATCCAGCGGTCGAGAATTGTCCGAAGAGAAGACCGATCCAGCGGCCCAGAAGAGAATGCCGCCAGCGGCCCAGAATTGGCCGAAGAGAAGACCGATCCAGCGGTCGAGAATTGGCCGAAGAGAAGACCGATCCAGCGGCCCAGAAGAGAATGCCGCCAGCGGCCCAGAATTGGCCGAAGAGAAGACCGATCCAGCGGTCGAGAATTGGCCGAAGAGAAGACCGATCCAGCGGCCCAGAAGAGAATGCCGCCAGCGGCCCAGAATTGGCCGAAGAGAAGACCGATCCAGCGGTCGAGAATTGGCCGAAGAGAAGACCGATCCAGCGGCCCAGAAGAGAATGCCGCCAGCGGCCCAGAATTGGCCGAAGAGAAGACCGATCCAGCGGTCGAGAATTGGCCGAAGAGAAGACCGATCCAGCGGCCCAGAAGAGAATGCCGCCAGCGGCCCAGAATTGGCCGAAGAGAAGACCGATCCAGCGGTCGAGAATTGGCCGAAGAGAAGACCGATCCAGCGGCCCAGAAGAGAATGCCGCCAGCGGCCCAGAATTGGCCGAAGAGAAGACCGATCCAGCGGTCGAGAATTGGCCGAAGAGAAGACCGATCCAGCGGCCCAGAAGAGAATGCCGCCAGCGGCCCAGAATTGGCCGAAGAGAAGACCGATCCAGCGGTCGAGAAACCGCCGAGCCTTCCATGTTGCACGAACCGCGCGGCGTCAGAAACCAACGCCGAAGCCGTCACGACACGAACTTGAGGGAGTTCAGATGTCCGCGCGGATTTCTTTCGTCGGCGCTGGACCCCTCTCCCTGGCGTGCGGAGCGCGCTACGGGCGGCGCCGAAGTTCCCGCAAGGGGGGGGGCGTGCCGGTCCAGGAGAAATCCGCACCGCACGGAGCTCCGAGAAATCCGCACGGTTCTCCTTCGGGGCGGCATGCAGACGTTTGCCGGTCATTCTTCCCCGAGCCACCCTCTTATTCGAGTCGTTTCACTTCGAGTCTTATTTTCGCCACATGTTGGTATCACGTGGATTATTATTCGTATGTGTCTTATTGTTATTCGTCGGCTTCGTCTTCTTCAGATCCGTATCATCATTTGTTTGATACGTCTGCTTATTATTATTCTTCTCCAGCTTGTATTCGCTCGAGCCAGCACACCGACCCTAGGCCCACAAGCTCGGCGTGTCTCCCCTCCCCCGACGCTGCCGCCCCTCTGTCTGCCCCCCCTTCCCCGCCCCGAGAGCGCGGGTCCCGCCCGCAGGCTGCAGACCAGCTGCACTCCGGGGCTCCCGCAGGCCCGGCTCGCGCGGCGGGAGGGGGGGGTTTGTCGCCGCGGCGCGGCGGGGCGGATATGGATGTCATATATATATGTATATATATATTATATATATATATATATATATATATATATATATTAGATATCTTATATGAGCGATTACTTGGTTAATCTATTAGATAGGGATTTCAGATTCATCTTGGACGTTTATCTTAGTTTTATATCATGTAGATATCTCATATATATATATATGTATATGATGATGCTTTATATGTATATATGTGTTATCTTAGTTTTTACCTGGTTTTTATTTGGGGCCTGCCGCCGCCGCCGTCGCGCCGCCGTCGCGCCCGTCCTCGCCTAATCGGCGGCACACCCAGGGGGTTGCGGACATTCTCACGAGATGGGAAGGAGATTTTGCCTTGGGGCCGCTCTGGTTAGTTTTAGTTGTGCTTCTGAGCAAGCCTACGGACGGGGGTACACTCATAGGGCGTCTCCCGCTTTGGGCCAGAGTCTGGGGGGCGATAAATGAGGGGGGGCAGCGCGGGGTACAGACAAGGGCCCTGCAGGGCCCCTAAAGGGGGTTTCTCGGGCCCAGGAGAGTGCCTCGAGGGCCCCAAAAGGCACCTCTCTCCGAGCCCATGTATCGCCGCCCCTCCCCCTAGTAGTTCGCGCCCAAGAGGAGCCTGTCGCCGCCGCCGTCCCGCCGCCGTCGTCAAGCAGTGGCGAATCGCCCTGGCTTGCCCATAGGCCCACCAAAGACTGTTCTAAGAGCTTTTTGTGGTTGGCACAAGATGTTATTGTTTTAACACATCGGCATTGTATTCCAAGAACGTTGCTTGTGTTCTTGAAACATTTCTGGCTGTTTAAGAACATCTCGTGGTAGGCCTACAGAACTGCCGGGACGGTCGGCCCCTGCTCAGTGTCGCGCCCGTCCTGTCCTGGCTTGATCGGCGGCGCACCCAGGAGGGAGGCCCAGAGTGAAAGAGGTGTCGACATCGGGTAAGAAACCGTTCTCAATGCATCTGCCGCACGGCTCAGGCGCGCACTCCCCGGCGCTTCACCCGCTGCCGCGGGCTTCGCGCGATCGAGCCCGCCACGGAGACCCCGAGGTGCCCCTGCATAGGAAATCGGCGGCGAGCCCGGGGGGGAATTGACGGGGGCAGGCCTTCTCAGAAGGCTTCGGGGGTTCTTAGAAGCCCTCTGTCCTTCTGAGAAGCCGTCTCTGTCTTCGGAGAAGGCTCAGAAACTTGTCAGAAGGCGCGAGGGCTCCTGAGAAGCCCCGCCGCCCTCTGAGAAGGCCTGCCCCCTCTCACTTCCCCTCCGTGCGCGCCGTCGAGCTGAGATCCTGGCGTCACAATTTTATCGAGCAGGGAGACGTCGCTCGGTTTCGGGCCCTGGGACCAACACATATCGATTCGGCTCGAAAATGGCGCAGGAAGATGGGGTCCCCGGCGCCCGTCGTGATTTTTTGTAATGTTGCGTCTGGAGAAGAAGGATGCAGGCGAGCGAGGAGGAAGCATCGCAGGCTCAGGATCGGGATAAATCGCTCTACGGCATTCCGGAATGCTCTCAGGGAGCGTTACGAGGCCGCGGCGCCCGATACGTCCTTCACAACCGCCTCCCACGAGACTCCGAGTTATCTCGATCCGATTTTGTCCTGCTCCTGGCCGCGTTTTGAAGCAGGCGAGCGAGGAGGGAGGAGGATCAGAGGAGGGGACGGTGCCGATACCGCTGCCGCTGCCCTCGTCGCCACGGCTGGGTTCGCCTCGAGGTTCTGGTCGGGACATTCCGTAAGAGAGGTCCGTGGAGCAGCGGCATCGATTGTCTCTCCGAAGAAGGATGCAGGCGCGGAGGAGGGAGGGAAGGAGGGGAGGGGGAGGAGGAGTGAGGAGCAAAGAGGAGGGGCGAACAGGGGGGGGGGGAAGATGCGGAGGGGAGGAGGAGGAGGAGGAGGAGGAGGAGGAGGAGGAGGAGGAGGAGGAGGAGACGGGGGACGGGGCCATTGGTTTTCGAATTGTGTTGACCTGCGCCTCTCCGACTGTCTCCAGGCTGTCGGCTCGAACGAGGATCACCGAGCGCGCTTGCTGCTCGCAAAGTGCCTACTCGCAAACATCACATGTTTGCCTCGATGCAGAGGATCGTAACCCCCCGCGGCGAATCCAGGCCATTTGCGGCTGGTTACTTTTGCGAGTAGTGGAACGCGCTCGTCTAGAGAAGGAGGCTTGGCAGCTCGGCCACTCTTTTCGAGAGCGAGCCCCTGCCTGTCCTGAATGGGCTTGTGAGTTTTTCCCCCAGGCGGGCCCTGTCGCTGGCCTGGGGGAGGCCAGTCCCAGCCTCCCTGCAATGACAAGCAATCCTCTACGATTGGCCTTCTGAGCGTTCTTGTCTGAACAGACAGACTCTGTCTCTCTCTTTCTCTCTCTCTCTCACTCTCTCTCTCTCTCTCTTTCTATTTCTTTTTATAATACAAATATATCTACTACATACACATAGATATATGTGAATCTGTATATGTGTATATACAATTTCAAATAGATTTCCCTTTAGTTGCGTGCGATCCTTCTCCCCCTCCCTGCCTCCTCCTCCTCTTCCTCCTCCTCCTCCTCCCCATCCTCCTCATCCTCCTCCCCCTCCTCTCTGCCTCTTCAAGCCACACTCCGATTCGGCCCGGTCTCCTTCGACGCTGACTGGTCCGTCCCTGGCCAGGTCCCGGGCTTGGTGCCCTTCAAGCCCTGCGAGGAGTTCTACGTCTTGCTCCCCGAGGCGCGGAAGAAGGAGGCCGCATGCGAATCCGACCTTGTCGCTCCACGATATCTACGGGGGGAGGTGGGGTCCACTTCGTTCGGGACCTCCCGAGAGAGGTTAACCCCACCTCCCCCTCAGAAATCGTGGCGTGCTTGGGTGGGGTTCGCATGTGGCCTCCTGGAGGACCCTCGCGGCCACGGCCAGATTCTCCTTGAGGCTCCTGGACCAGAGCCCGCCCCGTGTCGGGGCTCCGGGGGGTCGACGTCGAGGCACAGACCTTTCTCGCGTCGCGACAGCCATCAAACATTAACCTGACGAAAGACCCAACCATATGCAGCTGCGGGTACCGCATTGTGGGTACCGCTTTCGGTGGAGCTCCTTATGGGGCCACGCACCGTGTGAGGGGCGTGCCAGAATGGACATGCGGCGGGAGGGGAGGGCGCATGCGGAAGCGGCCATTGGGGACGTTGGTGGAGCTCCTTATGAGGCCACGCACCGTGTGAGAGGTGTGCCAGAATGGGCATGCTGTGGGCGGGGAGGGCGCACGCAGACGCGGCCACTGGGGCCTTCGGTGGAGCTCCCAATGGGACCACGAACCGTGTGAGGGGTGTGCCAGAATGTACATGCGGTGGGCGGGGAGGAGGCATGCGGACGCGGCCATTGGGGCCTTCGGTAGAGCTCCTTATGAGCCCACGAAACGTTTGAGGGGTGTGCCGATATCGGCATGCGGTGGGCGGGGAGGGCGCATGCGGACGCGGCCGCTGGGACCTTCGGTGGAGCCCCTTATGGGGCCACGAACCGTGTGAGCGGTGTACCAGAATGTATATGCGGTGGGGGGAGAGGGCGAATGCGGACGCGGCCACAGGGGCCTTCGGTGGAGCTCCCTATGGGGCCACGAAACGTTTGAGGGGTGTGCCGACATGGGTGTGGGTGACGACGCATGCGGGCGGTGGCACTGGGGCCTTCGGTGGAGCGCCCTATGGGGCCACGAAACGCTGTACTGGGTGGGTGAAACGCAGTGAGGAGGGAGGAGTGGGAGGTGGAGGAGGGAGGTGGAGGAGGAGGAGTGAGGGTCGCGGGGCGCTGTCTTCAAAAAGAGGGCCCAACACCACAGGATGGAAAGAAATCGTGGCCGAGGCTCACCGTGGCCAGAAAAGACCTCTCGTTCATGATGCTGCGTGCCTCCTGGCGGAACGGTGACCGCATCTTCCTCTCGGTCCCAGGGGCCCCCGAAAGATCGGTGCGGCTCACAAGATTCCGCACAGAGATTGGGCATCCAGAGCTCCGGCCGTGGCTTTTGTTGTAGGCCGCCTGCGGCGAAGGGTTATCGGCCCCAGTGATCAATTTTGAATTGAGACACAAGAACTGGTACTGAACTGGTTCCGCTGCTGGTGCGGATCCCTCCCTCTCCCCTCCTCATTTCCACTCCTCGAGTGCTTCCTTCTGCTGGTGCTGGCGTTGCTGGCGCAGCTGCTACTACTCCTTCGTTCCCTCAATTTCGATGTTGTTCAACACTCTTTAAGAGTCCTCCGTTCCCGAGCTCGAAAAGCGCGTTGCGCTGCCAGGGCTTGTCGCATTGTTTGCCTAGAGACCAGGCCGCCGCAAGACGGCCCGAGGCGTACCCAAGAGGGCCTCGAGATATTCCAAGAGGGCTTAAGCGTGAGAGGTTGTTACTGCTGCCCCCCCCACCACACCAAAAGCTCTGGCGGGGTCGGCGTCCGATTTATTGAAATGAACGCCCCTGCGGGGGCAGACACCGCCGCCCCACTTTTTTGGGAATCCAGAGTTTCTCTTCGGGGGTGTCCGTGGCGACCCCAGAGGGTCCAGAAAGGCTTGGAGGGCGGGCTTGGATCCCAGGGCAACGAAGGAGTGCTGAGGATTCTTGCGAAAGAGTAGTGTTCAGGATGTGATGTGTGCGTGGATTAGTGTTAAGTATTCGTATTAGGGATTGTTGTTAAGAGTACGTTTTAAGGATTACTGTTATGGGTGAGCGTTAAGTAAGGGCTGGTGTTACGGATTGGTGCTCAGGGCTTGCGTCTTGAAGTAAGGTGAGTTATCAGTGCGAATGAGCAATGTGAAGGGATCGTGTTAAGGATGCGAATCCCTGAGACCGAACCTGCTACAATCCCCTCTGGGGCGTGCTCGTGTTATGTGGCATGATGCTCAGTAAGGCTGTGCTTCGGAGGGGCCCAATGTGGACATCCAGCTCATTGATTCAGCTGGGAAGTTCAGGTGGGAGAGTTGTATGTATGGTTGCAGTCAAGGCGCCTTTGGTGAGCGCAGGCACGGCTCAAGGGGCCAAAAGGGCGCATAGGTTCCAAAGAGCTGAATGTATCCATCAGGGCAGCTCTCGGGTAGTTACTGCTGCTGCCACAAATCAACAGAATTGTCAAGTGGCCCGCGCTGGGGCGAGAACGCTTTTCTTAACGACGGGAGCAGCGTTGCTCCTCAGATGATGCCCGCGCTGCAGCGGCAATTGCATTTTCGAACAGCGGAAACGTTCTGATTGAAAAAACACCGGAACGAATAGTGTTAAGCATTGTTGATTGTAGAATCAATGTGCGGAGCCATGGTAGAGGAGAGGAGGATAGGGGCGAAGGTGGGGGGGAGGGAATTCCTGGGCACCCCCGGTGCTGCCAGCTTGTTGCCAAACTCTGGGGGCCAGAAGGGGTCTGTTGGGACCCTCCCGGAGCCGCCCCTGGGGCCACGAAGCTGACGGAATGGTGACCGCACTAGCGCCACAACGGCACGGGTTTTGTCAGCTTTCTGTCAACCGATGGAGCTCGAACGTGCCCTCTTGCGACACACCATGGGCTTCTCCAGGCCGGGCCCTCCCAGTTGGCCTCAGCCCTCTTGGGTCGCGGTCTGGAGCTTCAGGGGCCGCGCAGCTGAGAGAAAACTGGGAGAAACTGCGCTGATCACAGCAGCGCGATTTCTGTCAGCTTTCCGTTAGATCTTGGGGCACAATGGAGCTTTCTTGGGATTCTCTTGTGGCCAGTCGGCGACCGCTCTGGGACCCGCCCAAAGCTACTTCAAGACACCCTTTTCACGCGATGCAGATTCTGAAACGCCCACGGGGGGCGCTGATCCCTCTCATCTTTCGTCTTAGTCCTCATCCGTCTTCTCTTCGTCGCTCGCTCGGTTACACAGGGGCGGATGGGCAGGGCGAGAGAACAGAGAGAAAGAGAGAGAGAGAGAGAGCAGACACAGGGGCAACGAAGTCAAACGTCAGAAGTTATGTGCTCGACCCAGCCATTTAACCTTCGACTTTTCTGCGGGGGGGGGTCCTTCCTTTTCCCCTCCCGAATCTCCCTCCCTTTTTCCTCCCATGTTCCTCCCTCCCTGCTCCTCCCTCCTCCCTCCTCCTCCCTCCTCCCTCCTCTTCTTCCTCCTCCTCCCTCCTCCCCCCTCTTCTTCCTCCTCCTCCTGGCTCGTACTCACTACCCATCTACGCCAACCGCTCGATCCTTGCAAGATCGTGCCACGCCAACAACATAACGCACAGTAGTCGACGCCGCGATGCACCGACCAGCTACCACGACCAACACCACGAGCATGGTTCGACGACATCAGCGTACGCATACTCGGCAGCAGAGAACAAGTCACGACCGCCACCGCCACCACCACCCAACAACTCTCCCTTGCATTTGCCGAGCAAGGGCCCAGACTACTAGCGGACAGTACCACCCTCATGCCTAAACCGCTTCAGCGACTCCAAGCCGATCCATAGGCAGTTGCAACGACATGCAATCACTCTCAAGGCCGCCACCAAAGGTAGGGACCTAGGCGCCGACAGAGCAGCTCGAGGCACCACCCGACGCGCGACACGCGCCAACATATTTCAAGCAGCTCGACGACGACTCGGAGCAGCTGGCAGAAAGCTGAATAAACTCAGGATACGAGCGAAGGCCAACCTGACGCAGCAAGGTGCCATGGCCTCGCTCAAGCACGGGCCAGCCTTCCCCGGCATGACGCCCACCGCACTGCAGCAACCGCGACAAAAATACACGCGAGCACTACGACGACCGTTGCCAGGACGCTGCCCGACCACATACCTGGACCTCGTGGGCGCCAACCCAGCCTACACTATCGCCAAGGCGCAGTTCACCAACTTGTTCAACTGCTGGTAACACAGCCCAGACCTGCGAGCACAAAGTTCGACGCGCATGGCCCAAGATCTACTTCAGACTGCCCGAGGTACCAAAGGAAATGAGATGGTCACAACGACGGGGACCTATCACCGCGATCACACTGGCACTATGGGAGCTGCGCTGGGCCTCAAGAGAACCCGGGCAATGGATCGCCCGCGAAAAGAATGACGGGAAATTCCCACAGTATGGCGAGCTAGGGGGACCAGACGGACAGCCTGGACGCCCTCACGGCCGACGCCCGACTGAAACTATGGCGCACGGCAGCAAAACACTACAACGGAGGAGGTTTGGAGCACCACGGAGCAGACACGACTGAGCACAGGCACTTGCACTGGTTACGCGAACGAGGCAATCATCGAGAATAGTGAGGTCTACGCGCGACGGCTTGCGCAAATGCTTGGACCCGCACGTGGACTTGTTTGATTACAAAAAAGCGATTCGGACAGGGTTGCGACGATTGCGACTGCGGACAAACCGACAACGGCTTCCACCGCATCTGGGGCCGCTGGCAATGCAGAGGAGAAGACCCAACCTTCGAGACGACCGACCGCACCAGTTCACAGGCCGCAGCAGGCTGCCGCGAAGCGCCGGCGTTCTAGCTACGAGGCATCACACCGCGGGCTCGGTCAGCACCACCAGAATGCGCGACCGTCGAGATAGCCAACAACATTGGAGAAAACATCCTCGCCGACCGCATCCAAACTCCGGATGGCACTTCACTTGTGATCTACGGAGACGGCCCCTGCAGGAGACAAGCGCAGCGCGGGCTGGCGGCGCCGACGATGTCAATGGGCGCGGGCTCGGCTGACCACGACCGAAGATGGCGACTTCAGAGAGGCAGCGGCGCGCTACCGAACACTCCCACGCCAACGGCCGACCAGCAACAGAGCAGAAATCTGGGCGACATTGGATAGCCTTCGACACACCACAGGCTCAAGCCATTTTGGATCGATCCATTTTGGCTCAAGGCGGTGGGGCTGGATTAATCCAGCCCCCCTGGATTGATCCATTGAGGCTTGCGCCGACTAGCTTCAGCGCCCAGCTACGCCCATGCAGTTCAGCATCTGTTCTAAGCGAGGCGTGCGACACATGGGCGCGTTTCGTGCCCCGGTTGCCAGGCCGGCTGCGGAATCGATTTTGAGTCCCAGCCCGAAGCCGAAGGGCCCGAAGAGGCAGAGCGGCCAAGGCGGAACGGCGGCGGTGGAGGTCGAGGCGATTGACGTGGACGCGGAGAACCAGGAGGAGAAACCGCCAGCGAGGACAGTGAACCAGGGCAGAATCTCGAAGGAACTTGCGAGCATGGCGCAGGGCCTGCAGGTGAACGCGAAGGAGATTAAGGAGAAGATCGCAGACGTTAAGGAGGACACCGCAGAGGAAAGGACGAGCTAAGCATGGTCAAGCTTCGGGCGAGCATGGCGAACGCTGCCGCCGAGGGGGCCACGGCTCGCGCGGAGGCCGTCGAGGAGCAGGCGGGCGATATGAGCGAGAAAATGTCGACGAAGACGGAGGTGGAAACCATGATTGCCGAGACGGTGAAGCCCCTCCTAGGCTCGGCAACGAAGACGGGTGCACGGGGGACGGGGGAGCAGGACAAATTCGCGCGCACTGCTGCGATCGGGGACACCGAGACGGACGCGGAGAAAACGGACGCGATCGATTTCATCGAAAAGCAAATCATCATGAACGCGGAGGGCGTGGAGGAGCCCCACGCCGACCAGCTCGGGGGCGCGAGGTTCGTGAGGTTCATCAACCCGAGGCTGATGTTCGAGTTCTTACGGAAATTCAATAGTAAGCCAGAGCCTGCAATCGGTAACCGGACGGCATGGGTTGCTGTTTCGAGGAGCCCGGAGGAACGCAACAAGGGGAAGGCGCTTGGGAAGTACAAGAGGTTCCCAATTGGAATCGGTGGGGCGCCAGCTGAGAAGGTGAGAGTAGACTTACAGCAAAGGCGTCATTCTCGCGAACTGCAGGCAGGTTGGAGAGTGGATGATGGACGGCGACGGCGGCCATTTGCAAGTCCAGCTCGACCCGGACATCCTCAAGCAGGCCGGAGTCATGGCTGAGGCGAAATTGGACGACGAAGCTGCCCTGGCCGCCCTTCGGGGCTAGGGGCTGCTCTCTGCAGAGACCGGCGGCGGCCCGCCGCGTGCCGGTCGAAGGAGGATTCGGCATGGGGTCCCTAGAATCGGCGATAGCTGTCCATTCACAGTGTTGCAATACAACGCCCATTCATGGATGCATTTTGACAATCGCATCCGCCGCTGTCAAGCAGAGCCGAAGGAAGCTTGGGAGCTACAAGAAGGCCACAGTTGTTTTGGGAGTGGAGGGGCGTCGCGCCCTTGCGGGGCCGGGTTTCTGGTGCGCCAGCGATGGGGGCGCGCGCGTGTTCGGCCAGTTTCAAATTGCGCGGCGACGGTGGACTTGTGCATGGCCGGTTTTAGTGCCATCCGCACGGCGGCAGCCCACGTGCCGCGCGCGAGGCCCCCCGGGGAAGACGCGGAGGCAGCGCGCGCTCTAATGGAGCCCCAGGGCCAGGCGGCAATCGCAAGGATTACGCGCGATCTTCGCTGGAGACTTCAACGCCGAAGTGGGGCCATGCACGGAATGCGACGACGAGGAGGTCAGCAATCAGAACCGTATGCCGCGAAGAAGCGACAGGGGCACGACGCCGAAATTGGGTCAGCTCTCCACGGCTATGCCATCGCTAACACATTCTACAACGCCGCGTCCGGAGACGCTTGGACCTTCGAGGACGCCGACCGCAAGAGCCAGCTCGATTGCTCTTTTGTGCAGAAGAGAACAATGGCTATAGTGTTTTCCTGCGCTGTTTCCGCTGTTGTTGACGTGGGCTCTGATCATCGGCCAGGTCGCTTGGATCTGGCGCTGTCCGAAGCGGGCAAAATCAGGCAGGAAAGTGCGCCGCCATCGTTGGTCTTTTGGTTCGTCATACATTGCGCTGCTAGAAGGAACGGCTTCGCCACGTTGACTGTCAGAACGCCGCGCCGCACGAACGAGTCGATTTGCTGAACGCAAGCGTGATCTTAGCCGCAAAAGAGGAGAAGAACAACGCTGAGAAGCGCCATGCTGACGCCAGCATGACCGATTTGGACAAGCAGATCCAGCCCTTGATTGCCGAACGCCGCCGTCTGCAAGAATCAGATCTCCCGGCTTTGCTCAAGAAGGAGATCCGCAACGATTGGGGCAAACGCATGCAGGGTTCGATACGCCGGCGGGGCAATGAAACCATGCTCAGCAAGATCAAGACGACCCTGGCCGACTTCACAGGAGTGAAGAACTTTGGGGCATGCGGGCGAACCGCAAGCGCGACCACATCACATTGATGCAGGGCCCGCGCGGGACGCCCCAGCACGAGCGCGAAGAGATCGCCGAGGCGTTTGCGGTTTTCGTTGGGAACCTCTGCGCGAGCACCAAACAAGGATGCGGAGAGCACGTCTACGGCAGGCAATCTGGCAACTTGACCCCCCCCCGTTCACGCAAGAGGAGGTCGCCGCAGCAATTCGAAATATCAAGAACGGCAAGACGGCGGGCGATCGAGGCGCGCGAGCAGAATTCTTCGAGGTAGACTCGTTGGTCTTGCGAGAAAGTTTCTTTGACATTTTCATCCAGTTGCCAAGCCCTGCTGCTGACCTGCCAGCGGACTGGTCATCAGCCAGCATGTCTGTCATCTACAAGAAGGGGGGCGCCTCGCTTCCGTCGAACTACCGGCCCATCGCGATCCTCGCCGTCCTGTGCAAGTTGTTCAGTAGACTGATTAGCAGGAGACTTCGGAAGGACGTGATCCGGGAGCAATCCGTTGACCAGGCGGCATATTGCCCAGGGCACAGCACCGTGGACCATTTGATGTGCACAACGTTCCTGCATGAGGCCACGAGGGACTACGATGTTGATTCGTGGGTTGGCACGGTGGACTTCGAGAAGGCTTCCGACACAGTGGAACATGATACTCTCTGGTCAGCATTAGAGAAACAGAACGTCCTGCCAGGGTACATCGACCTACCAATACGGCTGTGCGCAGTGCAATCGGCTTTTGTGGCTGCTGGAGTGCGAAGCCGTGCGTTCAGCATATCCCGGGGCGTCGAACAAGACGATCCGATATGCTCGTTTTTCTTTGTGGTCGTCGTGGATCAGATTTTCCGGTCTCTCAAGAAGGGGTGGGGCAGCCTCACCGCCAGGCGAACAGGCGAATGCCACAGCATCGTTGTCGACGACGCTGCGAACACCTTGGGCAAATTGAGGTTGGCCGACGACGTGCTCCTGCTGCCCTCCAACAAGAGAGACGTGGGCCGTGCGGTCGTGGACCTTGAGATCGAAGCGGAGAAGTACGGCCTGAAATTGCACATGGGCAAAACCGCGGTTGCAACCAACTCAGCAACGAGGCCGGCAACCATCCGATGCGCCGGCGACGGTGCGCGAGTTTCGCAGCCTGGAGAGGCGGAGATGCACCTCGGCCGCAAGTTCACCTTGAGCGACTACCACGGGGCAGAGCTCAACAACCGCATCTCGTCTGCACGGGCATCTTTTTGCAGCCAGAAGAGCGCGCCATGCAATCGACGCGCGCCCCTTCGTGATCGCATGAGGCTCTCTCATGCCGCCCTTGCGCCCTGCGCAGTGCACGGCTGCGCTGCTTGGACTTCGACAGCCGAGCAGAAGCGGCGCCTTCGCGCAGAGCAGAGGAAAATGCTGCGACGCATGGTCGGTGCGGGGCGCCAGCCAGACGAGCAATGGGTGGAATACGCGCGCGGGGCAACGGCCGCGCTCGAGTCGCCCGCAAGGAGACATGGGGCCCAGGACTGGACAGACATCCTCTGGAACCTCAGATGGTCGGCCGCCGTCAAAATTGCTGCAGCGCAATATGAACGATGGGGCGCGCGACAGACGAAGTGGGCACCGTGGTCTCGAGTCCCCGCGCGTCGAAGCGTAGGGGCCCCGCGCAAACGGCGACGCGTTGATCCTTGCCGGGCGCCGCCTGCTATGTCTCATATGTTTCACGCGTCGCGCATTGCTTCTTCCACGCCTCGCTGATGTATTTTCCGGCCCAGCGCGCTGCCGGGGAGGGGGGCCCGCGCCGCCCATCACCGGGCCGCTGCTCTCTGCTCTCTCTTTCGACGTGCCACATGGCCATTGCGCTATTGGGCAGATAGCGAGCTCGCGATCAAGGGATGGCGCGACGAACGCTTCCTCTACGCGGGCGAGGCGGGCACCAGCGGAGACCTGCGGAAATTCGCCGGCGACGAACTCAATATTCGGAGCAGCAAGGGGGCAGGGGAGGTGGAGGTACACCATCAACATCCACCTCACTTGGGAGGAAGCGCAGGCACGAGGCTTCGCAATGCTCGCACGGCACGGCGCCAGCCAGGCGGACAAGCTGGCGGAGGCGGCAGCCCATGAACACGACATCGACGACGCGCAGTTCTTCCTCCGCCTCCTCCTCCTCCCTCCTCCTCTCCTCCTCCTCCTCCTCCTCCTCCTCCTCCTCCTCCTCCTCTTCCTCCTCCTCCTCCCCCATCCCCCCCCATCCTCCCCCTCCTCCCCCTCCTCCTCATGAATAGATCTCCAGATGTGCATCTTGGGTTCCTCTGCAGCGCAGGCATGGACCGACCGTTCCCATCCTGGCTTAAGCTGTCATGCGCCCGAGTCCCAGCGTCGCGGCCGCGATAGCTTGGCTGGCAGCCTCGGTGGCCCATTCGAGCGTGGATCGGGCCTGGCGCGTGGAGGTGGCAGCTTGCCCGCGCCGCCCCGACCTGCGCTGTGCGGAGGCCCCTGCCTGCCCGGCTGCGCTGCGCGGAGGCGGCCGCCTGCCCCTCGCTGCGCTGCCCAGCGGCCCCGGCGCTGCCCTGCCCCGCGGCGGTCTGTCCGCCGGGGCCCGCCCCCCCTCCTGCGGCTTCCGGCGAGGCCCGCGGCCCATGGGGCCGATCAGGAGCCAGCGGCCCCCCCTCGCGAGGCGGAGGGTCGGCTGGCGGGGGAGGTGCGGAGCCGTTCGGAGCGGCTGCTCTGGGGGCTCGGGCTGGCGCCGGACATGCTCGGAGGCGCCGGTGGAGCGGCGGCGCGCGCCGCGCTGGTGTTCGTGCTCGTCTCGGCGAGAGCGCGCTGGATTGCTGCTGCAGGCCGCCCGCCCGCGGCCGCGCGCGCTGGCCGACGGCGCTGCCGGGCGCCCAAGCCTGGGCGCGGGCGCAGCGCGCATGGAGCAGGACTCTCACCGGCGACTGGCCCTGGGGGTCTCGGCGCGTTCTCCAGCGGCAGCGATTGACGCGGCCATCGTCGCCCCCGACGCGGACGCGCACTGCGAGACGCACGGGGGGACCGATGCCAACATAGCGGCTGCGCGCTGGAGCGAGCGCCGGCGCCCCCCCCTCGGGGCCCCTCGAGACTCGCGTCGCTTCCGCCGCGGGCCGACGCCAGCCGCCAGCCGAGCAGCTGGAGTTCGAGAGGCAAGGGCGGCTGGTGGCGCGCGACGAGTTCGCGGCGAGAGATCGGCGCAATGGGGGTCCCGGGTGGAGTCTGCTGGAGGCGCCCTGCTGCCGCTGGCCGCCGGCCCCGCCCGCGCGCCGCTGGCCGCGCCTCGCTTCCCTGGCCAGGGAGAGGGCGTGCCCCGGCCGATCGGCGGGGGCGACGCCGTCGGCGGAGCGGGGCGCGGAGCCGGGGGCGCCGGCGGGGGCGCAGGCGCTGCCGCCGCTGCGGGGGGACCCCCCCAGTGCTGCCTAACGGCGACGAGCTGGCGCGGGTCGTCACGGAGACGCTGCGCGGGTTGCAGAGGGGTGCGGCGGTGCTCCCTGGCGCGGGGGCGCCCGCGCTCGGCGACGCTGGCCTCTATCAGGTGCCTGGCGCTGCCCCTGGGCCCCGAGGGCTGGCGGTCACCTCGGTCCGCCGCATGCCGCGCAAGGACGCGGGCACCTTCGCGCGGGTGGAGTCAGCGGCCGACGCTCGCACCATGCCGATCGAGCTGGTGGGGGGCCGCACGCGGCGAAGGCCCTGGAGGCAGGTCGCGGAGCTCGGGATGGCCACCCCGTTCCACGACTGGCCCGTGCAGGGGCCTCGCACCGTGGAGCGGGTGATGAGGTTCCGCGACAGACGCGGCGGTGGACTTGGAG